GGGGGGGGGGGGGGGGGGCTATAGCCAGAAAGGTAAATTTTGGCCATCCCCCTACATGTAATTGTTTCCTCCCATACACTATGAATTCTAGAATGGATGTCAAAAAACTAAACATCTGTTAAAATACTTAATAATTAATATTACATTAGTAAATAATTAACAGGATTAAAAGCATTAGTTTATTAATATATTTATTAATGTTACAATAGACAAATTGTGTCAGCCATTTATATATGTCATTCATCCAAATGCCATTATTTAAACATTTTCTTTGTACTAAAACATGTTTAAATTTCCCAAAATTGTTCATTAGAATAAATATTTAAATACTAATAAAATTATTTGTAAATAATTAAGGAAAATTACAAAAATTTGCATAAATTCTAAGACAAATATTTTGAAGAGCAACAGACCAAATTTGTTCAGTTGCGTATATATATAAGTAATAGAACAACATCCACACTAAAACACGACGTACTGAGTCTAGCTGTGAAGTGGTTTTATTACTTTTATATAAACACAAATATTGCCCTGATATTAAAATACTCTAGTACAACCAACCACACATACATTGGCAAGAACTTAAACAATAGCAAGCACTTATTTCCAACTTACTGATCTGGTTATGAATAACTTTGTAATTTTGTACATTGTGCCATGTAAACCAGTCCGCATTGAACGGCGTTTTTCCCTCCATTCAAAAATATCACGCCTTCCCTCTTCGATAATATCGAAGGTAAAACATTCTGCGTTTGAGTAGCTTCCTTCCATGAAACTTTATTTTGAAGACATGTTTACAAAATAATATTTTTAATGGAAGTAAAGTTCAAATTGTGGCCGAGCAAAAGAATAGGAAGGTTTTTCGTGGGGTACACGAAACAATCTCGCAAAAAACACGATAGGCTATAGCTCACGTGGGAAGAACCTGGGAACGAGGTTGCCCGCGTGCAGGTCCAAGGGAACACTACGGTATGTGTTGCCAGGGATTTTTGTATTCTGTCCACACTTCACAACGTACTTATTTTGGCTTGCAGTAAGCCTTGCTGCCACAAGCCGAATGGCTACATCGCCATTTGGTTTATTTGCCAAGGTTTAAAAAAAAACACACATAAATCCTCCAATAAATCCGGCCAACATTCCATTTTGATTTTGGCGAAATAGCCTATCTAGCCCGCATGCAGGCCCAAGGGAAGGTGCGCGAAACATGGAACGATAACCCCAAACACATCCCCCAAATGCCCCAGGGCATTTAATTCCATCAAATCCCCTTTATATTACCACCTTTCCCCGGATGGGGGGGGGGTGTGTTTAACATCGACTAATAAATAAAAAGGCACTAGTTGATTAGATTTAGTTCAGAAAATGGCAAGTATGGTGTATTAAAATAACATTTATTGAATGAAATTGAAGTAAATACTTTAGTCTCCTAGCTAAGTGCGCCCTCCCAGGAGCGTGCCAGCTGGCTCTTGTAAGCTAATGAATAATCATAACTACATGCTGTTTGAGAGAATGATTATCCATTCAAATTCTTAAACGTTGTCTGCAGTGCACACGATATTTTATAGATAAAGTGTCAGATAGCCTGAAGCAATACGTGGACTGTAATTTTAGGACATATGAGATACAAGGTTATGCAGATTACGGGAACCATTGAGTATTTTAATAAAATATAAAACACGGTAACTCCGAAAATAAACATTTTAATATTCAAAATTGAATATTAAAATGTTTATTTTCGGAGTTACCGTTGTTTTATATTTTATGCAGATTGTATAATAACTATTGAGTATTGTTGTGTAACTTATGAATTATACACCAACGCAAATGTTTAACGCACAGTGTTAGCTGGACATTCATAAGATATTCAAAGTTCTTCTTACAAACTTGTTTAGGCCTGTTCAAACGAGACTAACATAACAGCTTTAACTATTTGGCACGTATTTATAACTTTACAATCATTGTACATAACTTACATAGATAATCACATTGCACAAGAAAATGAAGAATAGTAATTATAGAAGATGCCAAACAAGGCGAAACACAAACTAGACTAGGTCCCATGCATGGTCAGGTGCACATCACTAGATGAGATAGTATAGAAGAGCAAGAAAAATATAGAATAGAAAAATGGAAGTGAATGGAAGAAGCACAGAAGTGATAGAATGAATGACCTGGAAGATGTGAGTTAGTCGTGATCAATGAGTGTGAGTCTCGTTTGGACAATATGTTGTGTACTATGTTGGACCCATTTGACTTAGTTCAAAATTTTCGACCAACAATGTTGGATTCGTTGGAACGGGGCTTTTCACTGTAGGCCAACATCAATGTGTATTCGCATTACTTTTTCCCAGTTTTGTTGACAAGACGTCGATGATTTTGAAAGTTAAACGAATCAATGTGGATAATGGTTATATATGGTGGTGATGATGGTATAAATTAATAAATGATGATTGCTTTAGCGATGGTGTTGGTAATGTTGTTATTGATATACAGGGTACTCGATCATTTGGTATAGTAATGAATTAATCATTACACACTGACAACAAAATTGACTCAAAACAATGCAGCCACAGTGACTCAAAATTACTCAAATTTATAAGTACATTTACTCATTTTATAGAGCAAAGTAAATCTTTACCAAAAAAATCAGTATATTTGAAATTTTACTCAAAGAGTTTTTCAGCCAGGAATTTTTTGCAGTGTAATGTAATAATGGCATGGTGATAATTATGTTATTGATGATGATGCTAGTAATTAAGATATTGGTCAGTGATGATGTTGATAGTACCCTTATAGTGATGTTAATTCATTGACATTCACCCAAGAACCAGTTTCAGAATGTTGAAAGTTACCACAACTAGTAAATGTATATGTAAGCGACAAGGGCGCACTGGTGTTCGTCACCTAGGTGTGAACACTTGTAAGGTTTCCTGAAGGTCAACCAACTTCAGTTGGAAAGTGGTGATCCAATGTTGGCAGTATTATACAGTAAACGATCGTTGCTGGACTATATCTGAAAACGATCATTTGGTATAGAGACATATTTCGTGTTTTATTTATCTGCAATGTTTCAAAACATCAGATTGTGTATAAAACGCACCCGGCAAGACAAGGCTTTGATCACATGCTGTTATTTGACGTAAATACGTAAAAATGTCTCTGTTTTGTGCGAGAATGGTCTAGAAAGGTCATGTCCTGGACAGGTCAATAATGAGAACGGGCATTCTCACGCTCTTCGCAATGTTCGGCGCTAACCAGGTGATTGTTTAGGAAACAATGCTGTGCACAATCAGGTCTAAGAGCCGTGAGAACCGAAACAAAACGCTCAAGTTGGAAAATTCCTATCGATAATAGAGAAAATGTTTAAAAAAAATTTGATGTTGCCGACTTTACAAACTTGCAATATAACAATCAATTCTTATAGTAGCATTGTTAAATCCAGTGTAATAATGAAACCTTGGACAGTTTAATTCATTTCATATAATTTTGTTGCATCGGTCAATGAATAAAAATAACTTATTGCAAATCCATTTTCTTTGTTAACATTGTCTCACATGCTCACAGTAGAAACAAAGTGAGAAAATCTCGTAGAAATCATACATTTCCTGTTTAAATTTTTCGTCTGCTAACATCGTCTAGCCGGTTAGTAAGATAAAAGTAACCAAAAAGTCTAGGGCGTCCATCAAGGTCCAAAATGGGACCAAGAATTCTTAATTTCATTTCTCTTTTGTATGTCGGCGAAGATTAAGGAAAAGCGGTTTTCTGACTAGAACGCCTCGTGTGAAAATATCTCAATTGTATGGCAGTGAAGAAAGCCGACTGAATATGACTGCATGATGATAATGAGATCTCAGAGTGTTACTGACACAGGTGCTTATCAATGTGCCGTCACCTCCGGGTTTGATTTCTATGTCTGAACTCTGAAGAGTGTCTCAAGCTTGATTCTAACAAAAACCCATTTTCCCTCCAGATACTCCGAGAGAACAGTTTAGAACTGACAGAGCTATAAATTCCTTGAAAGGTTTATCTTGAACTATCTTTGCCAGACTGAGTGTATAAGTAGTGCCAATCAGATGAACAAGCTTTCGTTGGTAGGGTTGCAAATACCTGAATATATATAAGGAGAATATTGACGTTTCGAGCAAAGACACTCCCTTACACAGTAACTCCAGACGAAGGGCCTTCGCTCGATATTCTCCTTAAATATTTTCAGGTAGTTGCATGCCTACCAACGAAAGCTTACCACGTATCACAATAATAAATGGTGTTCTCCACCAATCAAAAAGATATATTGATAAACTACATGTGGTAGGTTTAACCTAAGTACAAGACCCAACATGTTTGTAAATGCCTGTACCGGGCTGTACGCATGAGTCTGGCGGATCCTGTAATCTATGGGATTTGGGCAAGTCTAACCCCGCCTGTGGTTTCAAAACTTTTCAAAACAACAGGTCTAAGATATGGATCATAAAAAGACTTGTAATAATCCGTGTTTCAAAACTGGCGACATAAGCAACCGAGGCTGGCCAAGCAGTCTGGTTTTATTGTAAATGTAGTTAACAAGTATAGTCCACGACGCCAGCGGGCTTAGCAAGTTTCGAAACCATAGTTTCGGTAAAAGACTTTTTCCCAGCCAATTTCCGACTTATACAATATTGTTGTGTAATCTCGCAAGCAATTATGAGTATTTTTAGAGATTAATAAGTAATTAGAGTTTTCAGTTAATTAGCAGATTATATATCTTGTGATCAATGAACGCAAATGTTGGATGATGGGACTGAAGGCATGTGACTGTTCACGTGATCAAAGTGGAGTATAGTGGCCACTGCCTTTAACTCATTACAAAGATATTTCAACAAGCTGATATGCTTGCCTTGGCTTTTAAACAATTACTAATAGACGCACCTTCTATAAAGCTATTATACAAAAACACCCACAAGTGTCATTATTAAAAATTGTTTTCTATAAATAAAAAATAATCTTCTTTGTGTAGTTTCGATATTGATCTACTTTTGATCGAGTATCAGGGTTATTATAAGAGAATAACGTTTGCATGTGAGGGATAAGCTAACTATTCAAACCGGGGCCGGATTAACGTTTTGTGGAGCCCGTGGCATATTATCAGCGCGGAGTCCCTTGATTCCCCCCCCCCCCACGACATTTTAAACACTGAATTTAGAAAGATTCAAAAATCCTTTTGTATTTCGTGAATTGAAAAATTGCCCGAACATACTTTGAATTTATCGGCATTACCACTCAACTTGGATGGTTATGCCTTTGAATATTCTCAGCATAACCATTCAACTTGGATGCATGCATGTTATAATGGTTATGCCTTTGAATATTCTCAGCATAACCATTCAACTTGGATGCACGGTTATAATGGTTATGCCTTTGAATATTCTCAGCATAACCATTCAACTTGGATGCATGGTTATAATGGTTATGCCTTTGAATATTCTCAGCATAACCATTCAACTTGGATGCACGGTTATAATGGTTATGCCTTTCAATATTCTCATCATAACCATTCAACTTGGATGCACAGTTATGTTTATGCCTTTGAATATTATCGGCATAACCATTCAACTTGGATGCATGGTTATAATGTTTATGCCTTTGAATATTCTCAGCATAACCATTCAACTTGGATGGTTATGCCATTTAATATTATCAGCATAACCATTGAACTTGGATGGTTATGCCTTTGAATACTATTGGCAATAACCAATTGGTTCAGTTCGTCACGAGTTGACGAGTGTCATGTCAAGGTTATATATTGAACGTTCTATAATAACTATATAGAATATTTATCCAAATTGGCAAATGGCACAATTTCCACATCGTGGGAGAGTTGCAAGTTCTATAATGAAGGGTTTAGAGGTATTGTCTACATTGATACTGGTTGAGTAAGCAAATTATAGTGTGATTGTGGTGCGATCGTTTGAAAAGAATGTCTTTGTTTTAAATTGAAATTATATTTAACCAAAACTTACAAATTAGATTGAAAGAGCTCTTTCTGAGTTGAAACGTTTACCAAAAGTGTCTATTAGAAGCACTCTGGGCTATGTCTATGACTCTCAAAGCTACAAGTACTTTTTTATTTTTGCGTTGTCATGTATCGTCTTGACCATAATTGTCTTTTCTATGTTACAAATAGAATGTTGATTGTCTTATAAAAGGATGTGTTTTTATCAAACGACTTTAACTGTTGAATTTCTTCCATAAGCCCTATAATACGATCATTGCATTTTTAGAAAATAAGAAACTTTAACTGCTGTTTTTATATTGTATTATTAATTTTATATCTATATATAGGGAATATAGATACCAGAATGACTTTTCGTTCAAGACCAAACAATTAATTTAAAGTGATTCTAGTAAACTCTTTTTTTAGAAATTTATTTATAGGTCAGGTTTGTGGTTTTATTAAAGGGAGGGACTTTTTTAAAATTTTGGCTAGATATTAAAAACTGAAACATTTAATCACAGTATACTTTATGTTTTAAGACTGAATAATAATCTTAACTTCACACGCATACCATTGGCATTGTGTCGAGTAAAAGCACAATCCATCTTTTGTGACTGCCATCTCACGCAGTGCGACAGCTTACCGCTACAATACACTGCTTGTGAACAATTAAATATTTTATATAATAGAACAGGTGTACATCTTATTGAAAGCAAAATTTTTTGTGCTGAACATACACATTTTAGTGACAACAGCTTGATGGAATTCTATACCAAAAGACAGTTCAGTGTCTTGGGCCCTTGGCAAATATGTGCTATCTCTGTATTGTTTTTGTGTAAAATACAATCTTTACTGTAAAACGTTCGATCTTATAAGCCTGGATCTTTATCAGTACTCTAATAATGCTTCAATTCATGAAGTAGTCGTATAATATCGATACAATTAAATAAGCGATATAGTTTAAAATAGATAGAAGAAACACTATCTTTTGGGGTGGGAAAGGCGGCAATGTGTTTGTTGTGTCTCATAAAGAAATATCGGCCCGTCGCTTATATGCGTAGGTGCTTTGTCTCGTCAAACTTTTAATCTCCTGCAAATTATAAGATTGTACTTTGGTATTTCCCCCGCCTTGTGCGAGACGTCACATGACTGGCGTGGTGTTGGTTATATTTTGCGACTTTTGGTGATTTTCGGGGTAATTTAATAACCGTTGAGGTCTATGGTTGGGTTTTGGCAGAGAAAAAGGGAGTTGGGGTGTTTGGTTGATATTTAGTAGGTATAAATTGTGTCATAAGGGCACCGTGGGAAAGTTTCCGGTTCGCCAGCCTTAACGTTGTTGTGATGTCGTTGTTTAGTTGTGTATGAAAAATACTGCTTATAGTTACAACTCCACAAACATATGCTAGAGAAGCCCCCAAATCCCACAATAATAACCCTAAAAGATAGCGCAGAGCTTTCCTAGGCTTTTGAAGAGAAGATTTATAAGAGTTGTGAGAGTTTAAGATAAGAAATTGTAAAATTTAAACGCTTTTGTCCAACTGATTCAGTGACATCATGCTGGGAATATAGTTGAAATGCGTTTTGCCATATTCATTGTCATTGTTTCCAATGCTTTTCAATGGTGGTAAATTTATCTTCCCTGGAACAGTAGGGGGTAGCAGTACTTAATAATAATAACCAACTCGGTGACTAAGTTATTTTACTACGTCGTAAGCAGCTGAGCAGGAAAGTCTGTAACATCCTTGCAACTTCGTCACAACTTCTTCAATTCTACAATTCACAAAAATCCACTTCCACAATTAAGAATCTTCAAAAGCAGCGCTCCACTGTAACACTTTGCAACTGAATACCAGGTATCCAAAGTAAGACACTTTCATAACAAACTAACTTCAAGACCACTCGTTCTATATGGCTCAACGAGATATGCATATCAAAAGACCAATGAATTGTTTTATGCTCTGGAGTCGGGAGAAAAGATGCGAAATTCTTAAGAAGAATCCAGGTATACAGCGAAGTATTCCTTATGTAGACAGCCTTGCCTTATATAGTGCCTTTTGTGCTATTATTTCGTCATGGTAAGATAAAATCCATATAAGTGTTATTATACAGAACACTAGAATACCTGGAGAATTAAATCCTGCGGTATTTGGTATCGCGGCAGAGTATAACACTGCGGTAAATTATAATAGGATAGGGTTAGTACAAAACTTGAATCCTTCAAATTGGAAACAAAATTTCAAGGCCTTGAAAGTCCTTGAGTTTATAAAGAAGTGCTTGAAAGTCCTTAAATTGTTCTTGCTTTAGTGGATATTTGCTGAAATTGTTTGGCATTAAGAACGGACATTTTGCAAATTGATTCTGTTCATGTCTTACAGAGGTCTGTTTGAAATTCATTAAAGTTGCCGTTTAAACAGTTTAATTAACGTCACTTTTAACTGATTTCTAACGCCTTCTTTTCAGTCCTTTAGTCCTTGAATTTCCTGATATATGGCCTTGGGGATCCTTGAATATATACTCCTTGAATTCAACTCTTCCTGACCGGTATACGAACCCTGAGTTTTCAAGGATAAAATTCTGGTCAGAATAGCGAGACTATAACAACTGTGACAGCAATACCCCGTGTCCATTATCATCATCCATTTCTCTCGTAATTGCCCCTGATTGACTTATTTAAACGATCTTAATTAAGAAGTCTCTCATATAGACAGAAATGAAAACACGAGCGATCAGAAACAAACAAACAAAATGCTTTCACGACTTACTGAATATAGGCCGAGATTTAGGCACCAAAGTAGATATCTCATGATCTCCAAGCCTCCTGAATCTGTGACCGCTTGTAGTAAGGATGCAGATTGAGATACTGGTTTGGAAAAGTGTCATGATGTTAAGAAAACTATAAGTAAGAATACAACCATGGCAGGTTTAAAAGACAATGAAACTATTTTGAATCTCAATATGCAGGCTAATAGCCACTTGAATGCGGAAGAAAAACGCAGCAAATTTTCGTTGTATTCGTGGCATCACAAATTTCAGACAGGTCACGTCTGCTATATCGACTGTTTCCCACCCATTTAACTACGCGTGGGCTATAACCAATCAATAAGCGGCCACTTTTAGAACAGATTTAATCCGTATTCCACCCAAAATTAAGGTAAAAAGGTTCTTATATTGGACCGTGATCTATGTTTAGCATTGGGAGGGAAAACAATGCCTCAATATTCTTGAATGTTCGTAATTTGGTGTTCCAATATTAACTGCCTTTATATTTAAATGATATTAAGCTGTCGGAATTATAGATAAGTGTCACGAAGTTAACACGGTTGAACTGTTCACATTGACAGGATTCTTTGGAGCTGCAATAATTACCGCGTTAAAATAAAGTATGATTTAATTTGTTTTGTGTTGTGGTATTCAGTCAACAAAATTTACAGACACACAAGATAGGCAGACCTGAAGGCGACAATTTGAAAAATCTAAAATAACACATATTCCGAAGAACTAAAACTTTTTGTGTTTTTCGCGACTTTCCACATATTTTCCTAACATATTACCATCCCAATGTCACAAGGATTAAGATAAGAGATTTGTATTGTACAAAGACAAGGAATAAGGGTTGAAAACGTAGGTCGAGGATGTTAATATGCATCTCTTCATCACATAGGTATAAATAATGCAGTTATCAGCAAGATGTTGGGCGAGGCATGGAGAAAACTAAGTGATAAGGAAAAGAAACCGTACGTGAAAGAGGCGAAGAGACTGACCGCTAAATTACTGGAAGATCACCCTGATTATAAATACCGCCCAAGACGACGAAAAACCAAAACACCCGAATCAAGAAAACCCACCAATAAAACCGAATTAGATACCACAACTAATATCCCATACTCCACTGCGGCCATGCACCACACACCCTACTCCCAACCCGCACAGATTATCCACCCGCAAGGATTTTGGCCAAAATACGCAGGCAACTACTCAAAGATTTCATCAGAGAATGACCCACCTACACCTACATTCTGTCTCAGTCCGACAGAGGTTTGTAATCCAGTAAGAACAGCGTTTCCATTCAGAGCTTTACCCAGTTATGGTTACTGTGTGTATGATCAAGATATGTTAACGTCACCTTACTATGTCAACTGGTGTAACCCCAGGTCCGCCTGGCTACAGAATCAAATGTAAATATTCTAGGGGTATTTTCGGGCGCTTTCCGTTTACATGGCAAGACAGGTCAAATTGTTGAATGGAAAAATAAAGGCCGATTTACACTAGGCGACTTTTGCCTAAAACTGTCGCATGCAACCTGCTTACAACTTGAGTTGTACTGTGTAAATCAAACACACAACTTGTTACGAAACGTAGGTGAGTTATGTGCTTGATTTAAACAGTACAACTCCAGTTGTAAGCAAGTTGTCTAGTGGAAATCGGCCCAAAGAAACGGACCATTAGAGGGTGGGGAAAGATCAGAAAAATCCATACAAGCAAAACCTTTTGGAAAAAAATCTTTTGAAGATGGCAGAGAAAAATATCACAACACAAAACAAACATGCATACCAAATGAACTGTAAAAAATCCATGCATGCCAGAAACCTCTCCTTCACTTTTGTAGTGATCCGTTCCTAAACTTTTCAGTTGGGGAATCATAGTCTGAACAAGAAATTTGCATGGAATGAGGGATCCATTTTAGCTAAAGTTCCGGAATAACTTGATCCAGATCTTTCCATTCACAGGGGAGAAATTTCTGATCAGACCGGGTTAATTATGTAAACGGAAAGTGTCGTTTGATAAGGGGACAGACGTATCTGGTATACGTGATGGAAGACATGTATACGTGATGTAAAAATCAATTTGATGGTACCTGGTATACGTGATGTAAAATATTTGATGGTACCTGGTATACGTGATGTAAAAATATTTCTTGCACAAGATCTAGCTAAGATCTAACATTAACCACATTCAAGCTGGTATTTTATGCACCGTAGTTAGGTGTAACATTTTAGTTTAGGTTTCCACTTATTCCTTACTCTTAAGGAAGCTATACTTCGTAGCGAAGGAAAACTACAGTCTTCTATTGCGAGACTTTCTACAAAGCTTGTGATAATATAACATTCACTTGCACTATTTACTATTGTTTGCAATATGCACTAGTTTGGTTGCACTGATATATACATAATAAAATTGCTATTAGTTTTATAGTTCATAAATAATAACTAGATTGTACTTAGTTTATAAAGCCCTGGTCAAAGGAGAAAGTTGGCAGTCAATGCAACCATGTTTAGCGGCTGTTCTCAATGCTTTCCCAACACTATCATGTATTCTATTTAAGTTAAAATGTAGTTGGAACACTCATGAAAGCTTTATTTTGTTAACCTATGGCTTGAAATGTCCCTGAAACAATTCAGGACTGCCACAACTCTTGTTCTCGTTTGACTGGGGTTTAAGACCAGTTTTAATAATTTAATCATGATATATTATGGTGTATAAGGCGGATTTCGCTAAGCTTTACAGTACAACATTCAGCTGATGGTGGTCAACTAGCAATTTTTCAAAGTGACACGAAAATTGTTTTCGTAAAATGTACAAACCTTCTAATACACCCTTTCGATAATTACGACCTGGGAGCCTCGCTCTCATGAATCGTGAGCTAATCACCTTGCGTAATTTACTAATGAGAGCGAGGCTCCAAGACCAAAAAGTATGTGTGACGTAATTATCGAAAGGGTGTATTCGAGGTAAATTAAGTTGATCCTTTCTGTGCTACCATCTGCGGTAGTGTTACCCGTCACACGTAATGTAAATATCATGAGATATAAGTTAAAAGTAGTTGAATATGACGTAGATGTAATAAAGTTCTCCTAGGAGAACTGTACCCAAACACTTCGAAACGAAGAGACTAAAACTTTGAAACGAGTTAGCACCAGTTAATGTAGTTAGCACATTAGGAATTCAATTTTGTACATAAGCACTTTTAATTAGTTCTAATTGAATAATTAAATTAATTTAATGTCAAAGCTTTGTGTGCGTGTTAAAAGACTAAGTCTGTGTTGAACAAAGGACTAATCATTAGTCAGATTCTTTTGAGGTTGACCCTCTTTCTACAATTCTGCAAAATGAAGCCAATTGCAAACTTTTCATTTTATATGGTATTTTCAAAATCAAGCCACGCAAGTTTTAGCATTTTATTATTAAACTTGTGCATTTACACCATTTAGGAAAAGTGAAACATTCAAATATGTGGGTGGGTGTAAGAGTAATATCTAGGATACAATATTTCCAATGGTAATATATACATTATGAATGATAATAGTATTTATATTCATATGATAATTGAGAACAATGTCAATGATTCTTAAATAAAATAATTTCATCATGTATACTAATTATACACTCTACAATAAATGCTATTGCATTATCTGTTAAAATTAATGTGTTTCTCACACACTGCCAAGGCACTGGGTCAAGGTGGGCTAAGAGTATATAGTATGGCAATAATAATTGCAATACCATTGGCAATGAAACCAATCTGTTACAAATAAACATATTATATCCACTATTATCTACATCAAATCTCTGGTGTCCAAGACTAAAGCTGTTAAACTACAGTAAAAAAATTACAGAAAAAACTGAAAATACACAACAGCAGTATGCATGCCAGGAAACAGAACACTTGTTACAACCATAGATATCTTATATACACTAGATAGCGCGTCTCTTTTAGTAAAATTGAAGCCAAGAATACTCCAGCAGTTACCCCCATTTGAATAGATGGGGCCATGTTGGTCGTTCGCACTTGCTAATAAACGCTTAAAAACAACAGTAACTTTCATCATTTGAATAGTTTAAAAACGTATTTGGAATAGGGTTAACTTAATGTTTATGTTCCGTGTTTAAGAAATAGAAAACATACGAATCTTCTCATTTCATGGGAACGACCTGAGACTGCAATCACAGCTTCAATTTTTGAATTGCAGAATAATTAGATGCACTATCTAGTGTATATAAGATATCTATGGTTACAACTTGTCAAATGCTTCCTTTATAAATTCCTTATAAACTCTATCCATGTAGCCACGCCCAACAGGAAGGAGTCCTTCAAGAAACCCAACATGGCCACCAGTATGTGTAAGCAACAATGCAACATTGTCACAATTTTTAATTCTCTGTGCTGGAATTTGTTCAGGAGGTGAAAACGGGTCGTCATCAGCACTGAGACAAAGCAATGGTGTCTTGATACATTCAAAAGGTTTTTCCACAATTGAAGAAGCATGGTAGTAATGATCCACATTTTTGTATCCGAACATTGGTGCTATAACCGCGGCGTCAAACTGCCGGATTGTATTTGCCCTTGCCGCATCCTTAGCGTGCTCCTCGGGTACATAAATTCCCTTCGACATTAAAGCATTTCTGTTTGTCACAAACAATCTTTGTAGTTTTCTTGTCAAAAATCGATTAAACAGGAAGCAAGGAACAGGTTTTTCCAGTGAGTCTGCAGCCTTAAATGAATCGTACGGTATAGAGATGACAAATGCAGCATGCAAGCCAGAATTCTCATTTGATAAACTCATTCTTACTAAATAATTTGTAGTAATCATTCCCCCCAGAGAAATACCAACCGCACAGATACGACTCTTGGGGTATCGCTGGTGAATATGTTTAACAACCAACTCTAAATCATCACTGTTAGCCGCACAGGAGAATTGGTAGGTCACCGGCACACAGGTTATCCCACGATGGTTCAACACAACCACACGGTAACCCAAACATATAGCCGCTTCTGCAAATTGTAGAACATAACCAGACTGTGAACTTCCTGTTAGTCCTGGGACTATCAACACAATATTCTCCGATTCATTTTCAATATTTTGTGATTCATTTTCAAACTTTGATCCCTGTATATTATCTTCGGCTTGCTGTTGTCTATCACTATCTTTCTTGATATCAGTCTGGACAGTCCCTGTTTCCTCCGTTGGCTCCTTATCACCGCAAGAAGTCCAGTCAAGTCTAACTATACCGCCATCTGGCGTCTCTATATCCTCAGCTGTGTACTTAACTATCGGACGGCTTCTTAGGAGATCTCCAAAAATCGTTTGAAGGTTTCCTCCAAACGTCCAAATCGTCGGATGATAGCTGCCAACTTTGATAGATAAACCTTCAAGTACCTTACGTAACTTTCCTCTACCGCCTATGATCAGAGGATTTCTGGTCCCCAAAGCAAAATAATGAGAGATAAGAATGACCACATTGCAAGTTATACAAACTGGGAGAAGTATTTTCCATGTGGCAGTCAACATTGCTGAGAGATGAGAGGAAGACGACAACATAAAACGAATTAAAATATCAGCCATCATGCTCAATTTATAATCAGATATGCATTAGTCAAGTGTCGCAATTTGACATTTCCCGATTTCTAAATTATGTGTTTCCACTATAAACCCTGCGTTCCTAACTTCTTATTCGTCGATAATAGAAATGAATCTCTGGGAACATCATTTATCAATTGGAAAAGATTATAGAAATTATATTGCGATTTTTTTATTGAGTTTTGATTTCCTTAAAAATTCCCGAAATTTCAGGGCCGGATTTGGTCTCATGTGTTAGAAGGGGTGGAGGTTTTCCAGAGGGGGGTGCATTGCTATATGGCATTCTCCCCCAGGAAATTTTTGAAATTTGAACCCCTGCCATTTCCTGCACTCTGAGCACTATATTTACTTGATAAATTTGTCCTCACAGTACTTGTATTTCAGGCAAAAATTAAGAAAATGGTATATTGGTGCTTGAATATTTTCTTGCGTAATCGAAAATCAATCGTTTGAATATATATATTATATTAAATGCGACTATAATATGTAGCATTCACAACTGAAAAAGCGGGAAATCTAAACTTAATATGGAATACCATAGATTTCTTCAAGGGGGTTGCTGGACACCACTAGGGGTGCTGGACATCAATAAGAGAGGTGCACACCCCCCTGCACCCCACCAGTAGATTCACCTCTGCAAATTTCCCCGTTTTTTTCACTTATCTCTAACTACAAACTGGATAACAGAGCTTGATTCTTATTGTATTTTATTATACCTATGTATAACCGCTTTAGCCTCTTCTGCAGGCACTTACTTTACAACTAATTTTTTGCAAGCAAATTTTGCCCACTAATCTAAAGGCGATGCCTGCAGAGGAGGCTAGCTAGGTATAGCCCAATCTCGTTCCCAGAGCCTGCAGTCCTCGGGAAGGAACGTGAGGCTCTGGGATAATCCGTTTCAGGGAGGAATCTGATTGGCCGTTGAGATGGGATGCGCAGTTCAATCTTAGCCAGGATTCCTGGCTTCTGGCCGAGGATTGCAGATTGGGTATAACCTTACCAGTAACCTTATCCAAAGACATAAATGCATAAAAATCACAAAGGCATGTCAACATGTTTACATTCCATGTTAAACATTACACAATAGTTTATTTTAGTATTTTATTTTATTAGTTTATTTTAGTATATTAAGCAGAGCATAACCAAAGACGACCAGCATAGAAAACAACCAAGAGGTGGTAAATGTTCAAGACTTTACCAATACAATAGCAAGAATTAAAACATTAGTCTCATCTGTGATTTAAGTGATGTGTAAATATGAAGATTTCACTAAACCATCATTAGAGCAATATTAGAGCATAATTACAGCAATTAGTTGATGAAGAAAGATGAAGTCTGAAAATGTGGTGGTCAGGTACTTTACAGTTTACTATGTATACACAAGTAGTGCAAATATTTGATTGTGTGCAAATATTTGATACCCTAGATGTGTTGAGTGATTACTTGGTTATGGACTTATGGTAGAGTGCAAAATTTAGCTATATGGTCTGGAATGCCATATGCATCAGATCATATTTGATTCATTTTGTATTTTTGTCTGTGTGTTGTGATGTAAGTTATCCAGAGGTCTCTGGGAAAGATGTCAGTTATGTACCTTGGCCTTGCTAGTGTTTTGTTAGCTTCATTTCTTTCTCTCGGATTTTGTTGTAGTTTGTGAATCCTTGTTTGCTTTTATTGAACGAGTTAGGACCAGATGATGTTATCGTTTCTCTAAAATGAAACAAGCAGTTACTCTACTATTTTTAACTTTGTATTTGGATCATTGTTGGTCATTGTTGATGTTACATACTTTCCTAAATTTCTCATGCGCATTTTTGCTTCTTTAGGAATTTCTTCTTCGTCATCACTCTACAATATCAAAATATATTTGGGAATGTATTTCATATGTACTGAACAAATTTTTATGCATGTCCTCAACTCAGGCAAATTGCAAGTACTTGGTGCAGCCCAGACTTGGTCACCTTTCAACAAGATCAGGTGAGCAAATGTTGGAAAATCAAGTGCACATCAAGAGGCAGATAAGGGCACCAAATTAGTTAGATACTAGATCATAAAAATTAGATTTAAGGGCAGATTAAAGTCCAAAAATAGTTATAAACTACACCTCAAGTGGACTAAAACTTCTACCTAAAAAAAACAATTGTGATGTTGACCAAATCTGCCGTCTGGTGTGTAGCAGTGTATTGTGTTCATAATAAATTTTTTTAAAAAACCTCGTCATTAAATGCAGCAGCAACAGAACCTTTCTTTGGTTTTGACACAATATCAACTTTCTCTTTACTCCTTTCTGACGATTTCTAAAGTGATATAAAATATGCTAAACACTCATAAACTAGCCAAACTTTAATAGTTATAAGTTTATTTATTAAGACATCTAGCTATTACCTCATTTTCAACTATTAAATGTTGAAGGGTTTCTTGCCTGACTGCAGAAATGTTTGGAAATTACATGCCAGAGATTTCAAAAATTTAATAGTAAATATGCAGAAAGCATCAAAATTGCGCGGCCGATATCTCCGATACAAACTTTCCACACTGGCTTTTTTGTTTAATCGAACCTCGTCAAAGGTATTTCCATAGGGATTGAGGGCAGTGGCAAAGCCAGTCCAACAATTTGGTCATGCATGCTATGCAAATGTAAAATCATTATCATTTCTTTAGAAATTGATCGTTTTCATGGTCTATGAGCACAGAAATATTTGCACAGCATGACCGAGTTGTCAGGCTGGCTTCGCCACTGGTCGAGGGATTTTTCCGAGGGTTCTTTCCTAAAACTAGACCTCTCAACTCTCACACATTTGGCGTAAGTCTCACACAATTTGCTTCACTCACACTTAAAGGACGTTATGAAGCAATGTATTTCATTAAAAAACACCAACTCTCATGATGTACAAAATGCCATTTCAAACCCTTGGATGTTTACAAAGGTGTCATCCACATCCCCAATCTCACTCTTAACTTCTCTGAAAAATTGAGAGGTCTGTAAAACTGTTTCATAAGTGGTCTAAAATCAGCAATCTCGTAATTTAACCCATCAGGGGGGTCCGGTTATGAAATGGCTATATTATAACTACAAAATGTAATACTGTAACTGCTTGTCCTGTATTGAACTGTATGTATAGTATAAAATTGTTATTTCTGAATAAAAATTAAAGCTTACCAGTTGGCCAACTTTAATAGATATCCCACTAGGCGTTCCTTTGCTTGGAGCAGCTCCAATTTTCATTTTCACCGGGGATTTTTTTTCATGAGTGTTTTCTGCCTTGCGTTTAACAGCAAACTTTACTTTCTCATCTGTCCCTGTGTGTACGACATATACTGGCAAAATTTAGCTTAGAAGTATTAAACGACCTAGCTATAACGTGAGCTACAAAATCAGCCATTACATGTACAAAATTTGAAGTTTGAACCTGTTTTCTCTTCCTTTTTTTCTTCCCGCCGTTCCGCCATTTTGATTTTTGAAAAACAAAATTTAGCACACTGATCTCAATATTATCATTCTTGACTGGACAATAGCCATTCGTACCACTTGGCAGTAGAACAAAGACTTTAGCGGAGTTTCCATGCAAACCATGTTTTGAAAGGCTATGTTATAACTGACCCAACGAAATTAACTGAACCCTAAGCTAATCGCAACTCTAACACTAATCTAATCTTAATCTGACACTAATCTAAACTTGATGCACGGGCAAGTGTATTTCAGTATAATGAACGGGTACGGACTAATAAACGGAACTGCGGAACCTGCGCAATTTATGCATTTTTTCGTCACAAATCCCTCCTTGCCCAGGAGACTCGCTTTCAACGTACAATTCAGAACTAAAACCGCGCGAAAAGACCTGGAACGTGGTTTCAAAGATAGAGCTGTGATACCGGGCGCGAGTACTGTGCAGGGACGCCGGAACGATCATAAGGCAAAGGGGGGCGGACCCACACCAAGGGCACCTCTCTAAAGCAAAACGTCCCCCCCCCCGTCGCCAAAAAAATTTCGGTCAGTGTACCATTTTAGGGGTCAAAAATTTTTTCCGGACGTACCAAAAGTCAAATATAAACTATAAATTGTCTGAATCTCATGATTTTCGTACAAAAAGCATCGTTGTAAATGTCATTTATCACGTATTTTTTTTATAACTAAAAGGGCACTTCTGCCCCCCCCTGCCCCCTAGCAAAAGGCAAGGGGGACAGCCGCCCCCCGTGCCCCCCCCAGTTCCGGCGTCCCTGGTACTGTGTCTCTCACACCCGTTCCGCACGTTATCAACAATATAGTATTGTAATTGTTAAGCTTAACAACACAATAAGTTATTGGGTTGTTACTGGAAAGAAAACCGCAAGCATTGCACAAAAGTTTTAGTTATAAGTGTAACTGGCTTGTGGCGGGTGGGTAAATCCCGGCAGCTTTATTCCCGGGTTAGGGGTTAGTGGTTAGGGGGGTGGGGGTTAGAGGTTAAGGTTAGGGTGGGGGTTAGGGTTAACAACGCAATACTTATTGGGTTGTTAAGCTTAACAATTACAATACTATATTGTTGATAACGCAAGGAGCGCCTGGTCTCTCAAGGGATCGAAAATGACTGTGCACGCGAGCGGTGCGTGTGTAGGGTCAATAAGTTTTCCTTGACAAGCTTTGTTTGCTCGTGTGCGGTGTGCACGAAATGTTGTTAAACATTTGTCTCACGTCAAGGACGCCTTTTGTTTTCCAAAACCACAGAAGTATATATTGTACCCTTGTCAAGTTATCCTTGGAGGCCGTAGACAGGAAACACGGTTTTTCTTGTCCAAAACCTGACATCACTATAGCCTAACAAAAAATGGTCAATATTTTGGCGTACACACGAACAAATAATATTAACTTGTCCAAGCAGGGCTTGTCAAGGAAAACGTGCACGTCGGTATGGGGAATTAAGTTCAAATACTCATCATCAACGACTCATGAAAATATAGTCGAAACTCCTCCTCCTCCGTCGGAGAGCCGTATAAATAAACACGAAAGCTACAATCTTGGACATAACTGGTCGAAACTTTTTTTCTCCCTAAACAAAATTCGCATATTTTTGTGAAATTAATCATGTTGCCCTTCTTATAATTTAATATATAATTTTGCCCTTCTTATAACTTACCACATTGAACTGAGGAGACAAAGTTTGTTTAATCAATATAATGTTCAATAACCTTTTTATATTGGCTAAATTGATGTGTTGTTTGCTTTAAAAAACTGATGTTGCGTATAAGCGGGTAACTATATGCGGCTCTGCGGAGGAGAGTCGAAGGGATCAGCGTTAGAATTAATGGTTAGGATTAGGATAATTGTTAGGATTAGAGTTAATTAAGATTGCTAATTTAAATTGTTACTAGATAAGGAAATTATAAATTCAGTCATAAAGAAGTTTATGAAATGTAATATGTGCTTGCATCAGCTGTAATCTCGAATCTAAACTCGAATCTAAAGTAAGTTTATTGTAAGAAACACCATATGTTTATTTATTTATTTATTTCATTTATGTTTATTACTAGTGACCATATAAAAAAGACTACGTCTGGAAATTGAGAAATTTTGAAGCGATTTACACGGACGGTAGTCATGCATTGTCATAGGAAAAAAATCAAAATGAGGGATGTATCTGATTGGAAGCATCACTTTTCAGTTTAAAACGTACCATTACTGATCCTTTCAACGTCCTACACAACTAAATGTTGTTTTCGGCCAACATTTGCGACAAAATTGTGGCAACTATTGGTCAACATATGTTTATGAGTAAAATATAGGGATTTCCCCTTTAATCTTTATTTAAAATCACTCCTTAAGATCACTCCTTAAGTTAAGGTTATGGATGTTCTACACTTGAGCGGCAGAATTACAAGGTGGATAAGTGTAGACTTAATGCAGTTTCTAAGGCTGATAACCACAAGATTATTATTTGTACCCGTCTGCTGAAACTGAGTGGCCTATGTTAATTTTGATACGATATCCGACCTCCCAAATTCTTCTTTGTTTCGGGGTCCCTTCGCTACCTCAAATACAATACACATGTTGAGAGGCTCGATCATCAGCTCGATAAACAAGAACGCCATGAGACTGTATGAACAAGTGGTAACAATTCTGTTATTTCAACTACACGTTTGTCAAAACTGTTGATATACTGTTGGCGGTTCAATCACGCCATTGCCCCATTGGCGCGAAAAAATTTGATACAACTGTTTGCATAAACAATTAGTCACTAAGTCGCACACTCAGCATTTTATAACGATAGATTTGGTGGAATTATGTACTTTAGCATTATATTGATACCATTGACATTGTAAAACTGATGACTTTTAAAAGGTAGGAGAGTGTCATCTCTATATGAATCTTGAAGAATGAAGGGTCTTCAGTAATACCGAAGAACCGAAACTGTCTCTCAATTTCCTTCTTATATTTTTGCCAATTTACCGCTGTAATTATAAATGGCTTTATTGCGAGGTTTCTGTGTATTGTGGCATTATTGGGAGTTGTGCTGCTGCTTGATGGTGCGTCAGTCATCCTGTACGCAATTGTTGTTTAATCCTCGTCGACAATATGTTAAATTAATCCTCGAAATAATGAAGTTACTACATGTCTACATGTGCCAGTGCACATGGTGGTTGTTGGTGGTTCGAGCGAAGGCGGCCTTCGTAGCCGTAGGATAGCCTTATAGCTTTGTATTTTTGTCATCTCTATAACCAGCTACTAGATAACTTCAATATTTTTTAATATATACTTGGAATCACTTAATTAAGCAATTTTAGCTATTTGGTCTGCATATCTTGTAAAATTTTTATCCGTGACGATAAAACTGAAAATTCACGTCACGTTGTCGGCGAATCGCGTTCGGTCTGTAATCTGTATGGACCCAGAGGTATGGACCTTCACACGTCGATCAGCGAAATCATTGGCGTTGGCACGTTGCGCCGCCCTATGATATAGAGACCTTACGATTTTAGGACGGCAACGCGACGGCCAAAACAAACTCCTTCAAATAAATGGTAGTAAAGATCATTCATGGTATATTATCAATCGCATGAATTTCATACAGTCTTAGAAGTTCAAGACATGGGTTTTATGTTTGGGAAGAGTTCTGCTGAACCCAGTTTGAAGTTGCACTTGTTGCGGCTTGAAATGCAGCCGTTGTATCAAGACGTGAAAAATTGAAAATCTGTGATTTGGCGTTATAAACAGAGCGAGGACAATTACTAAATTATTCATATATTGTAATTATTCAATTCTTTTCAATGATTTATTATATTGGTCGCCGTTGCCGTCGCGTTGCCGTTCTAAAATCGTAAGCGTCTTCTCTGCATGGCCACTAACTTCCAGACGAGAAGTCGTCGCTCGAAACGTCGATGTTTTTATCACTTTCAGGGTGCTTATGACCAAAACGAAGACAATTTATCATTGAATATTCACGTAATATTTCAAATCCGACTATGAGGACTGGACTAGATTTCAAGTCCGCGCAATTTGATCACGTCCGAGGCGAAGCCGAGGACTGGATCAAACATGATGAGAGGACTTAAAATCTAGTCCAGCCTCATTGGAGGATTTGAAATGACATTTCATACGAATAAATCACTACTTAATTCATTTTAATCCAGTCCAAGGACTGAATTAATTTTGATCCAGTCCAAGGACTGAATTAATTTTGATCCAGTCCAAGGACTGAATTAATTTTGATCCAGTCCTAGGACTGAATTAATTTTCAATTTTCAATTTTTTTTCAATTTTTATTATTATTTATTATTATTATTAATTTTGATCCAGTCCAAGGACTGAATTAATTTTGATCCAGTCCTAGGACTGAATTAATTTTGATCCAGTCCTAGGACTGAATTAATTTTGATCCAGTCCTAGGACTGAATTAATTTTGATCCAGTCCTAGGACTGAATTAATTTTGATCCAGTCCTAGGACTGAATTATTTTGATCCAGTCCTAGGACTGAATTAATTTTGATCCAGTCCTAGGACTGAATTAATTTTGATCCAGTCCTAGGACTGAATTCATTTTGATCCAGTCCTAGGACTGAATTCATTTTGATCCAGTCCTAGGACTGAATTCATTTTGATCCAGTCCTAGGATTGGATATATCAATACAATATACTTATCAATACAATATACTTCATCAGGTATCCAGCATTATCATGTGAGCAAAATAAAGTAATGTGGTTGGCTAATATATCATGAATCATTAATGAGTTTGAGATCTATATTGGAAAGCCACGTTTTGAATATATATAATATACTAAGTAGGTTACAAGTAAAATTAAACAATCGAATTGTCCGCTTTTAAATCTCCTGTGAAGACGTTTGTGAAAGACGTCAAAAAAACATAAATGTTACTACTAAATTTTAAGATTTAAATTTTTGTAAAATTTGATTACATGTTGCTTGTGATGTTACTCTGAGTGTATATCCACACTGGGCAAGCTTTGAAAAATATGCCTGTCCACGGTGGGAATCGAACCTACGACCTTTGGGCTTTGGAATACTAGCCCAATGCTCTGCCAACTGAGCTACGCGGTCAGGTCGGTTCGAGTATGTGATATTTCGGAACCGAGTCTAGTTCCTTCGATATCATTAATGTAATCTAATAATCATGAATTTAGTGGCCAAGCATATTTTTCAAGCTTGGCCGGTGTGGATATACACTCAAAGTAACATCACAAGCATCATATTCACCTATGTACACAACACCAACACAGAAAAATTCTTGATTCCATGTGTTATATTAAAATATCCTACGAAAGAATTTAGTGTTACATTCTTATAGCTACTGTAGAAACCTTAGACGTAGTTGAAGTTCATTACTTGTCTTTACTCTTAAATTTTAGGCATTTTTCACAGATCGATATGTCTGTCTTATTATACCAAACTACATTTTTAACTTTATCCTTGAGGAATTACTGGATCGAACCATCTGAGCCACCGCAACCTGCAGCGGTAGTATAACTAAATATTTTTTAGATGTTATACGTTCTTCTGTCGGTTTTTCTACGGAAGAAAATTCGGGCAGACATTTCATTACAATCCTCCATAAAAATTCGGGCAAACTTTCAACTGCCCCCTCCACGGAAGGTATTATGGCAATACGATAAATAAAAAATAAATGTAAAAATTTGAATTCTGAAGATACTTTGACTTTCAGATCAGGAATGGCGAAGGCATGGTCATGGATGACTATAATTCAGTTCATTGGCGTCATGCAACTTAATATGGCTGGCCGAATAACACTGAGAGGTAAAGAAAAAAATAAGAAACATGATCATCTGTATAGGACTGTATATTACACTGTATATTACATGATATTTTCATGTGTATTTTAAGGTATTTTAATTATTACATCTCCGTGACAACTGGATTATTTTATACTATTCCAATGAACTAAAACTATATATTAAGGACATATACAGATATTAAGGTGGCTCTTTAAGGAGGCTCTTTACAGTTTCCAATATATATCAGTGTTTTAAACTAAAAGCTATTTGAATCTAAAAAAACTAATTTTTTGCACAAGCCATTGTTTCCTTTTATAAAAAAAGTAATTTTAACCAACAATGCAATCTCAAAGGCTGAAATTCAGTATCTCGAAAAATACACTGGCGATTTTCAAATAACTTTCAAAAAAGATTCAAAACTTCACAACAATGTACTTTCAGCAATAAAAAAGGTATAGGTCACCGTGGTTATTTGTCCGCTAAGACGGCTTTTTTGGTTGATATAGGGTATATAGATGGTGACGTCATGTTGTCATGGTAACGTGAGAGTAGCGATTGTGGGTTAAAATCACTCTTTTATATGAGGAAACAATGGCTTGTGCAAAAAAGTATTTTTTTTAGATTCAAATAGCTTTTAGTTTAAAACACTGATATATATTGGAAACTGTAGGGAGCCTGCTTAACAACCATCTAATTCTTGAAAAGCCAAAATAGAATACGAAACTGCAAGAAATACTAATTAAATCATTTCGTCTCATTTGAGCAATTCGATGTGACACCATAAGTCTGAGACTATGTGCACACGGTAACGTTTCCGAGCGTTTCTAAAACGTCGTTTCCAATTTTGTCAGTTTGACGCTCTGTCCACACGGAAACGTTTTCACGAGATGCAAATGTTTGTCTCGATAAAAATCCCATCTCTAGCGGCTTGTTTTTACCATTCATTTTCCACCAGATAAAGTCATTACTTGTCAACGAGTTTCTTAAAATGTCCTCTGCTCATTATCATAAAGTAAACAGTTTTATATGTACTGTTTAGCATCACCGATACGAAGTCTGTCGCTTCTTCGAAAGCAAAC